CATCATCTTTTTAACATTGACGAACAAAACATGATTCGGACCTTGCTGGCCTTTTCGAAGGGGCTATTGGGAGGTTTTCGGGGCGTCTGGGAAGGGTTTTGGAAGCCTCTTGGATTCTTCTGGAGCGCTCTCGGGGCCTCTGGGTGCGTCCAGGGGGCGTCTTGAGCAGTCGTGAGGCTGCTTATGCCCGTTCTGGAGCGTTCGGGGGCTATTTGGACGGTCCGGGGGATGCCCTGGAGGACTCCTGTGGGGTCTCCGCTGGTGCCCCCGGAGAGGCTGGAATGAGGTGTGCCCCATCTCTGTCGTTTTGTTTCATGTCATGTAGTAAGGACAAGGAATCTATGTATACCCGTATGTGGCTATATCGTCTCTCGCACACATATACACATCCCGCCCATGTGCGAAACGTCAGAGGGGTGAAGCTGCACGGCGCACAGCGCCAATGCAGTCTTGTGGTCGCGCGGGACGTTATACAGGCGAGATGGAAAACACTTCGTACGCAATTCCGTATGTTACGACATGCTAGGCATTCCGACGGTTCCCTGGCCATTCACAACAGCCCAAATCGTAGCATCGCACCGCCTAACGCTTTGACACGTGGTTGGAACGTGTTGCAGCGTATGGCATTGCATCGCATCGCAGCGTTTGGCATGCCTCATCGTTGCGTTGCTCATTGTGCTATGTGCCGGCATCATATCTAGCGTCACATTGCACGACATGGCAGAGCCATGAATAGCAACTCCTACATGTATATAGCATCGCGTAGAAACCTGGCGCAGCATTGCTTAGCGTGTCAGCACGTGGCGTACTGTTGCATCCGATGGCGTATCATCTGCCAGCATGGAATACGATTGCAACTAGTTACGTGGCATGGCAACTCATGCGGTAAGCATGGACTAGCCCACCATAGCCCTGGTATCGTATATAGTGCAGCACGAGACAGCTATGCAAACCAGCGTAGGGCAAACAGGGTAAGGCAACACACAGGCAACGTGATCGTTTTTTATTCCGTGTTTTGCCGATCGGCGCGGGACCCCCCAAACCCCCTTCATTGGAGTGGATATTAGCTGTTTTTTTGCGCCTGTTTCGAGCGGGTGGAGCCTCCCCCATAGGACGCACTGTTCCAAACAGTCGCAGTAACCAAAGGTCGGGAGCCATACCCCCTCCCCTCCCCCACTCCTTTGCCGCCCATTGTCGAAACGCCGGCTAACAAAACGCCTACCAACGCAACGCGAACCTTGGGAACCCTGCCCGGGGATTTTCCTGCCCCCGGGCGTGCTCCCAGGGCTATTTGGCGCCCCCCGTGGACCCAGGTTGCACGGAGGCGGCCAGGAAAAACGTGCGAATACACACATCTCTGTCCATACATCTATATAATATATATATATATATACATACATACATACATACATACATGCATACACACATACATACATACATGAATCGCCATTGCCCAGCCCTCCACCGTTGTTCTGTCCCTCCGCCCCAGATCCGAGAGCGCCTTCCGTTGCGGTCGGTGCCCCCGTTTCTTGGGGCCCGACCGCAGTCGAGGGGGTGGGCAGCTCATCTGCCCCGCACTCGCCTCCAGCCCATCGCCCCGCTTGCATGTAGCCCTCCGTGCCGCGCAGATTGAGGCGCCGAAGTCGCGGCGGGCAAGAAATGGCCATCATGGCGTTGGCGGCTGGAATGGAGTAGGATGATTGGACGCGGCAGACATTGCACAGCGGCCACGATCGCCATCGCAGGGTCACGCTATCAGAATGCATCTTGGCCCTTTGGATATCGCTCATCATTCAGGGTGTCTGCGTGCGTGTGTTTGCGTGTGCGTGTGCTCCGGGGTGCTTGCTGACTCACTTCGCCGCATCGCTGCGCGCGTGACCGCGACGCCGCAGAGTGTGTGCGTGCACCTGCCACACAAGGTGGTAAATTTACGTTGAAACCGTCCCTTCGCCGTGCTTCTTTTCCGCCGATTTCAACTCATCGACGATGGAGGCAAACATACATGCTTGAGTGCGCACACGCGTGTCGGTGCGCAGCGCGGGTGCCCCTTCACCTTTGCCTCCTCTCCTCCTGCATGTGCATGTGTCTTGTTTTCTGTTCGTGCCTGGTGCTGTTCCCTGCTCGCTTCTGTTTGCCCCCACACGGGACTCCACGGCGGAGTTTGAGTTCATAGCGCGAAATTTCCATGCAAGTTAGCTGGGCATCACGGCCCGTTTGATTTTGACACGCGTTTGTTTCATGGCGCCGGCGTGGGAAACATCTGCGCGCGAGTTCGCGTTTCCCTGCCAACGCGCCCCACACGACTGGAGAGCGCCTTCTGGCAATCGTGCGATGGTGGGGTAAATGAGTTGCCCGGCGCTCGCAGAACTGAGGAGCGGCGTGACTCCTCCAAGCCGTTGCGCCCTGGCGCCAACATCGCTCCCTCTAGCCAGGACCCCGCTGACCTGGCCTTCGTGCAGTTGCGGCCACCTATTCCTGCAGGGCCTCTGTGGAAGTGAGTGGGACGTGAAAATAGATCTTGAACACCACTACCACAATGGCCACCGAGCTCCTGTAATTTTGAAGCTCCCACTGGGCTCCAGCCGCTGCAGGCTCCTCCATCCTGCAACCAGCTCTCCTCCTCCTCCGCCCCCTCCTCAATGGCTGCGGCGAACGACGAGATTTCACGGTGACGCTCCTTCATGTGTCAGGATTGCGAACGATGGAGGCACGATTTGCTCCATTTGGTGGGAGCGTCATCGCAAGCCACCCTCCCACGTTCCCTCCTCAGGACCTTCATTCCCCCCTCACTCGTATCTTTCGCCCGTCATGCGAGGAGTCTCCCGAGCTGCGGATGCAGATCCAGCGCTTTCGGGACCAGCGGCTGCCAGGGTGGTGGAAAGACGGGCATCCATGGGCGGGAGGCCGATTTGGAGGGCGACGCTCGATTCGCCCAGATTGTTCAGCCTTTGCCGCGCGTTCACTGCCCACGCTTCATACCTGCATACCTTCCGAATGCGCATCAGGGCCTGACCAGTCTCGGAATGTGTCCCCAGATCCCGACCACTCCCGGGCGATATATTATATATGATCTTGGGCCGACGGTTCATAGGCCGCCCCCCCCCCCCAATAGATGGGATGGGCCCCAGGGTTCCACCCCCAGATGGGATGGGGGGTGACGACGCCGACGCCGACTCCAACGACGACGACGCCGACGGATGACGAAGACAAGGACGACGCTGACGACGACAAACCACCCCACACCCACAGGGGGAGGAGAGGGTGTGCATCTGCACCCTCCACCACGCCACGCCCACAGGGCCGCGACCACAGGTAACGGGGGGGAGCGATGGCTCGCACCCCGCCGCCGTTCGATCACGCCGCCAAGGAAGGGGGGGGGGTGTTTCCTCGACCTCGACGTTTGGGGCCCGTTCTGGGCCCCAGGCCTGTCAAACATCAGTCCCCGATGCAGCCGGCCGTGACAGACCCCTGGGGGGCGGGGGGGGGAGGACAGAGGATCGAAGCTCGAGGTTTCTGGGTGTGTTCGCTCCCCGTCCTCAGCACCCATCAGGCACAAGGCTTCTGATCGCCGCGGCTGAATCCGCTTCGAGACTCTTGCTCGAACGCCCCCCTGCAGAGGTCTGGGTGTCCATTGCCGACGGGAGGGGAGGATGATCGCCATCAGCCACAGGTGCTCAGAGGTTTCTCGCCGTTTCCGCCCTCCCGGGGTCCTTCCCAAGCCCTGGGCACAGTCAGACGACGATTGGGGACGAAGGAGCCCGTTCATTGAGACCTGGGCGTCCAGGACCCGATTCCTGTTTGACCGCTTTGGCCCATGGCAAGGATGAGGATGACGATGAGAGAGAGCGGGAACGACCAGGATGCGGGAGAGGAGGGGAAGGAGGAGGAGGAGGAGGAGGAGGAGGAGGAGGAGGAGGAGGAGGAGGGGGGAAGGAGGAGGAACCTTGTTGGACGGCTCATGCGCCCGCAGCTATCCTGTGATCAGGGGTAGGAGGAGGACGAGGGCGACTCCCGCCGCCAACTGTTGTCTGCACCTGTCGTCCCAGCCCGGTCACTGCTGGATTGCCGAGAGAGCCCTCCTCGTCCTCCTCTCCCATCCTCCACCTTGTTCCCTCCTCCCTTTTGTCTCCCCCCTCACTCTGCGGAGGGGACGGGGGCTGGGAGTGCGCACGGGTGCCTTCTTCCGCATGCCGCGGGGTCGGGTGGCCTGGGCCTAAGCGTTTGGATGGAGTTTCTCATTGTCCCCCTCCACTTGCGTACGTTGACCAGGCTTTGAGTAGGAATTCCTTCTGTCTTCACGATTCTCCTCTTCCTCATCCATGCCCTCTTCCCCTTCTCCATCCCCCGCATGTGTCATCGTCCTGCTCCTCTTCCTCCTTGCTCTCCTCCTGGTCCTCCCCCCACTCTTGCTCGCCCCCTCCCCACATCGCTCCCTGGCTCCGGCGCGTGATCGTCCTTCCCAGACCCCCGACGCCATGATTTTTTCACGACGCGACCCCCAGAGGTCCGGACCCATTCCCTGGGACCGGCTTTTCCTCCTGAGCCGTTGTTTTACGGTCCCAGGGGCCGGTGAGGGCGGCCTCCAGAGGCCGAAAACAGCGAAAAACCTCCCGTCGTGATTCTTTCACGACTCGAGGGGGTCTGGGTTGGCTCATCGCGTAAGTTACCTTTTTTGTCCTCGTCCTTCCCCTCGCCACCGCCATGCCGCCGCGCCCGCCTTCTCCGCGGCCTCCTCGGCCCGAGGCCCACGGGGCAGCCTGGGGGAAGGGGGAAGCGGGTTCCCCTGTAAGGTTTACGTCGGGCGTGCCCCTCTACAGGAGGAATACTCGCAAATTGTCCCAAAATTAGTCGGGGGGCGATTTTTCGATTGGGTATTGTTTGACTATTTTCCATTCTTCGTCCAAGAACCCGCCTGTAGGAGGACACGCCCGACCTGACTGCAAGGAGGATCGTCCACGCGTGGGGGCGGGCCGAAGCTCCGGCAGTCTCTCTCGTCAGCCATGGCTCCCAAGCGGCAGAAGACGATCGAGGAGCAGTACATGAAGCTGACTCAGCACGAGCACATCCTTCTGCGGCCCGACTCGTACGTCGGCTCTTTAGAGGCTAGGCGAACGAAGAATGGCATAAGCATGAAAGCTCGGAGGTCCGCGCGGATTTTTCATTTTGGCGCTGGACACCCCTCCCTGGCGCGCTCGGCGCGCCATGGGCGGCGCCGGAGGCGCCGCCAGGGGGGTTCAGCGCCGATCCTAGAATTCTGCGCGGACCTCTGAGTTTTTATGTTTGTATTATTCTTCGTTCCCCTAGAGGTGCAGCGGGAGTGGGTCTGGGTCTACGTCCAGCAGAAGAAGAAGATGGAGCAGGTGCACATGAATTACGTCCCAGGGCTGTACAAAATATTCGACGAGATTTTGGTGAATGCGGCGGACAATTTCGAGAGAGACCCTGAGCACCAGAACTACATCAAGGTTGACATCAACGAAAAGGAAGGCATGATCAGCGTGGAAAACAATGGGCAGGGCTTGCCTGTAGAGATGCACAAGGAGCATAACATGTACGTGCCTGAAATGGTATTTGGCCACTTGCTCACCAGCGATAATTACGACGATGACGAGAAGAAGACCACGGGCGGTAGGAACGGTTACGGTGCCAAGCTCACCAACATCTTCTCCAAGAGGTTCGAGATCGAGTGTGCTGATCAGGCGCGGGGGAAGAAGTATCACCAGCGCTGGGATGACAACATGAAAATTAAAGGAAAGCCTTCCATCACTTCGCACAAAGGGCAAAGCCACACGAAGGTCACGTTTTGGCCTGACCTGGCGCGGTTCGGAATGAAGAAGCTCGACAAGGACATTGCTAATTTGATGGCGCGAAGAGCGCTCGACGTGGCCGGCTGCACTCCAAAGAAATGCAAAGTGCATTTGAACGGTAAGTTGTTGGACATTTCGGATTTCAAGGACTATGTCGATTTATACATCGGAGAAGACGGCGTGGAGACTGCCTATGAGAAGTGCCACGACCGCTGGGAGGTGGCGATGACCGTGTCCGATGGTCAATTCCAGCAGGTTTCTTTCGTCAACAGGATTGCAACCCTAAAGGGTGGTGGACATGTAGCCCACGTTGCCGACCAGATTGTGGAAGCCGTCGTGAAGAAGGTCAACAAGCAGAACAAGGGAGGCTCGAGGGGACCGCCCACTGCGATCCAGTGAACGCCTGGATTCCCTGAGAACTCTCATCGGGTCGAGGCCCTGAGAAGGAGGATGGATCTGCCAGCCGTCACAGCGAAACTCGTCCGGCTGAGGGTCATGTCTCTTATCGTGTGAATCGGGGTTGGACAGACGTCCTACCCTGACACGTCGATTAAGGAATTGGCCGTTTTCGGTTCCCGAGAGGGCGTCGCGGCCGTCATTTTTGCGGGTCCAGGTCCGTCGGTTTCGGTCCCAGGCCGTTTTCACTAAGGGGAGGTCTACTAAAGGGAGGTTTGTCCACCGCCGAGTGAGCGGTCGTCTCGGCCTTGAGCCGGTCTGTGTAAGCCAGCGCTCGAGCTGGTCGTGACCACAGGCGGGCCAGGGATTGGTGGCCCGAACGAAGCGATCGCGTACACCGGTCCTGGGCCTGGCATGCGGCCAGATCCAGTCGGGTGACGTTGTGCTTCGGGGCTTCTCCCAGGCATGGACATCAAGCCTTTCCACGTCAAGAACTACCTCCGTCTCTTCGTCAACTGCCAGATCGAGAACCCGTCCTTCGACTCGCAGACGAAGGAGACCATGACACTGAAGGCCTCCAAGTTTGGCTCCAAGTGTGAGATCAGTGATGCCATGATCAACAAGGTGCTGAAGACAGGCCCGACAGACTGAGCGGCTGTGGGGGGGTGCTTCCTGAGCAATTGCGGAAGAGGGGTTGGATGGACGGGGACAGGAGTTAGGAGGGTGGGGAACGAGGAGAAGAGGAGGCGGAGGGAGGGAGCAGGAGGCAGGAGGGAACAGGAGGAAGGAAGAGCGAGGAACAGGGAGGATGATCAAGAGGGGAGCGATCAGGATGGATGGGGGGAGCATGGTGGTGGATCAGGGCGGAAGCAGGCAATTTGGAGGATGTGGGATGGCCAGACGGGTGGACAAGGAGGAGTGAGGGAGATTGGATGAAAGAACGGGGACTGGGGGAGGGTAAAGGCACGAGGAAAGAGGGAGGAACGGAATACAGGGGGAAGTAAGTTAGACAAGCATTGAGGAGGAAGGAGTGAGGGATGATGGAGTGAGGGAGTGAGAGAGGTGGAGAGGCGTAAGGAAGGAGGAGGAGAAGGAGGAGGAGGAGGAGGAGGAGGAGCAGGAGTAGGAGGAGAAACAGAGGGGAGGAGAGAGGAGCAGAAGGAGGAGATGCGGCAGAGGAGGAGAAACTGAGGAACAGAAGGCGGAGATGCGGCAGAGGAGGGGGGGAAGATGAGGGGGAGGGGGGAGGGGGAGGGGGGAGGTGGAGGAGGGGGAGGCAAAGGTGGAGGTTGAGGAGGGGAATGAGGAAGGAGGAGTCATGAAGGAGACAAGAGGGGAAAGCGAGGCGTGAAGAAGATGGACGCAAAGGAAGAATGCGAGAAGTATGAAGATGAAGGGTTGGATGAGGAAGAGGGGGAGGGGGAGGGGTGTGAGGAAGGAGGGGGGGACGCTGGCGGAGGGCGGTGGACGGGGAAGGCGGCGGGGAAGGGGAAGGAGGAGGAGGAGGAGGAGGAGGAGGAGAGCTGATAGGAGGAGGAGGAGGAGGAGGAGGAGGAGGAGGAGGAGGAGGAGGAGGGTAGGAGGAGGAGGAGGAGGAGGAGGAGGAGGAGGAGGAGGAGAAGGAGGAGGAGGAGGGGGAGGACGGGGTAAGAAGGAGGGGTGGCGGCTGGAGGAGCAGGACATGAGAGCACGTTGATCCTTTCAACCACTTCAAGCTGGGGTTTTATTTCGATTCGCTTCGCCCCCTCGTCCACACTCCTCCTGTTGCTGGTCCCCCTGAAGCGCCTACCTAAGCCTCCTTCTGCTCCTTCTCATGCCTCTCCACCTTCCCCATGCGCTGTCGTCCTCCTCGTGATACACTCCGTGGCATCACCGAAAGCGACGGTTCTTCTTATGGCCCTGCGCCGAGCCCGAATCCCTGGTCAGACGGCCAGCAGGCATCGTCGACATGATCTTGCAGTGGGCGAAGGCCAAGGAGGAGATCGACCTCGGCAAGCAGATCTCCTCAGCTGGCGGCTCCAGCGCCAGCGGGGGGAAGCGCAAGCGGCTCCTCGGAATCCCCAAGCTGGAGGACTCGGGGGGGGGGCGGGGGGGGCGGGGCGAGAGGAAGCCACCGGGCCTCGTGCTTGAAGCATTCCTATCCCTTGGCCTCGTCCTCTTCGTAGCAGGAGTGTGGTGACCTCTTTCTGCTCATGCGCCCCTAGACTTCCGATGATTGCCAGGAGGGAGAGAAACACACAGACACAATTAATCGTCGACTCCCAAGAAAATATGGGAAACTATGGGAAGTTGGGGGGGAAGACGAAAACCTAGAAAACAAAAACAGGAAAATACGGGGGATCCTGTTATTTATGTCTTTTTATTTGTGTGTCCCAGGGCCCCTTCAGATCGTTATTCAGCACAGAGCCCCTGGTCATTTTACCAGGGCCCGTCGATCCCCAGACAGTGTCTGCACTCCACTAAGGGTTCCCACCCCGTCGCCCTGCATGCATCGCATGGGCACGTCCGGCTTTCTGCTGCTGCCCTGGTGGTTGCCCGCTTGGTGCCTTGTCGGTTGGGCGCCTCGTGGGCGCCCCGCGCTGGGGGGCGATGCCGAGGTTTCGGAGGAGGAGCGGGAACGTGAGCAGGAGCAGGAGCAGGGGGAGGAGGAGGAGGAGGAGGAAGAGGAGGAGGACAAGGAGGAGGAGGAGGAGGAGGAGGACGAGGACAAGGAGGAGGACGAGGAGGAGGCTTCGCTGGATGCCCGCTTCGTGCCTGGCTGGTGCCCGGTCGTGGGCGCCCGTGGGCGGCTTCGTGGGCATGTCGCGCTACAGTCGGCCCGTATTAGTAGGTCGACCCCGACAGCTCAAAGGTACCCTTGTGTCCTGTGCCTCGCGACACGTGCCTTCTTGCACTCCTATGGCGATGTGGCCCTCGGCAGGGTCCTGTGTCCTCTCGCGTGTCCTGCCCAATCAAGGCCGACTGGTAGGGGGGGAGGAATGCCGAGGCCTCGCCCGAAGCCAGGCTGGTGCCTGCCTGGTTGGTTCCCGGTCCTGGGCGCGCGCGGGCGCCTCGCGTGCGACCCGCGCATGGGCGGGCGACGCCGAGGTTTCGCCCGGTGCCCGCCCGTGGGCGCCTCGTGGGCGCTCCGCGCTGGGGGGGGTGCTCCAGGCCTCCTCCTCCTCCTCCTCCTCCTCCTCATCCTCCTCCTCCTCCTCCTCCTCCTCCTCCTCCCACCCCCCTCCTTCTCCCTCCCTCCTCCTCCTCTCCTCCTCCTCCTCCTCCCTCCTCCTCCTCCTCCTCCTCCTCCTCCTCCTCCGCCTCTTCCTTTTCCTCCTCCTCCTCCTCCCCCTCCTCCTTCCTCCTCCTCCTCCCCCTACAGATGGGGTCGGAGCAGATGGGGTCGGAGGATCGCGCCGCATCGCCGATGCATCGGCGATGCGGCTCGATGTTGAGCCCGATTTTATCGAGGCCGACGTCGCCGATGCATCGCCGGCGTCGCCGATGCAACGCCGATGCATCGGCGATGCATCGACGATGCGTCGCGATCCTTCGACGCCATCTACTCCTACCTCATCTCGGAGGCCTCTAGATGCCGAGGTCTCGCCTGGTGCCCGCCCGTGGGCGCCTCCTGGGCGCCCCGTACCCTGTGTGGGTGACGTAGTCTACGCAACATGTTTCACACCGCCAGCTTGCACGGCAAGCTTGCGCAACAGAGCTCGCATCATACAGGTCACGTCGCACATGCTACACAGGATGGCTCTCACCACATAGCTCATACTACATGGCTCACACCGCATACCCTACACCACGTAGCTTGCTCAGCATAACATGCACTTCCACAGTACAGCAACTCACTGTTTGGGGTCCACGCTGGCTAGCTCGCCATTATCGATATGTTGTGACGGCCCAGGGCTCGAAAATGCCTTGCAGAAGCTAGAACACAAAACAATGCGATTCGACTTTGTCAAAACGTTGGGTCCTGGTTCTCCCTCTCCTCCTCCTCCTCCTTCTACTCCTTCTACTCCTTCTCCTCCTCCTCCTCGTTCTCCTCCTTGGGGGTGCTAGCTGAACACCTGGACCCCCGCAGCCGCAGCCTGCCGAGCGCTCTCAGCCTTGCTCCGCTCCTCTACCACTAGGTTTTTGTTCTCAGCCTCGTGTACCGGACGCTGTGCAGTTTGGCGAGGGGGGCGCTCTTCACCCCAAACTGCCCGAAGTCTGTATTAAAAACAAGACGGGCTTTTTCATGTTGTCTGCGTCTTGGAAGCTATTGCCGAGCTCCAGGAGAGTCGCTGGACAATCCAGACGAAAAGACCTGTCCCCAGTGAGTGATGAAAAGGTTCAGGGATTCCGTCTCAAAGTATTAAGGCATCTGAGATCGATGTTTAGGTCTCTAGAGACGGAGGAGGACCGTCAGGCCTGCACAAGTTTGACAGCTCATTTTGCGCACACGTCTGGAACTGTCCGGTTGGGGTCGAGGGGGGAAAGGAGGATGTCACCAGGAAGATCCAATAAGTAAGACTCGTTCTGCAGATGTTTCTTGTCTTGTTGGCCACAGTTTCGAGGACGCCAACCTCGCCGGCGGCCGCGAAGGGCGCGATTGCACCCTGATCCTCACCGAGGGGGACAGCGCCAAGTCCCTTGCGGTTGCCGGCCTCAGCATCATCGGCCGGGATCGCTTCGGTGTGTTCCCTCTCCGCGGCAAGCTGCTCAATGTGCGCGAGGCCTCTTTTGGGCAAACTATGGCCAACGCCGAGATCGCGGCCATATCCAAAATTCTGGGCATCGAACCAAAGAAGAACTACACGACCACGAACGGGATGCGCTATGGTCACATCATGATCATGACTGATCAAGACTACGATGGTTCTCACATTAAGGGCTTGATCTTGAATTTGGTGCAGCACTGGTGGCCCTCGCTCTTCCAGAGGGAAGGATTCATACAAGAGTTTGTGACGCCGATCGTCAAGGTGACGAAAGGAAGCAACGTCCAACAGTTCTTCACCATGAAAGAATACGAAAACTGGAAAGATGACAACAACAATGGCAAAGGATGGAAGATCAAGTACTACAAGGGTCTCGGAACATCCACTACCCAAGAGGCTAAGGAGTATTTCAAGAACATTAATGACCATCGCCTCGCCTTCGATTACACGGGGGACGATGACGATCAAAATCTCGATCTTGCTTTTAACAAGAAGCGAGCGGATGACCGTAAGGACTGGATCAATGCAGCAGAGGACGATGATGTCGTGGACCACTCGCAGGCATCCCTTACGTATTCAGACTTCGTGCAGAAGGAGCTGGTTCAGTTTGCAAAGTACGACGTGCTCCGGGCCATCCCTTGCGTGGTGGACGGGTTCAAGCCCGTGCAGCGAAAGATCATGTGGGCTTGTTTCAAGCGCGGGCTCAAGAGCGAGACCAAGGTGGCCCAGCTTGCGGGATACATCTCCGAGCACGCAGCGTACCATCATGGCGAGGTATCCCTCCAGGGTTCCGTCATCTCGCTCGCGCAAACGTTCATGGGCTCCAACAACGTGAACCTGCTGTTCCCGTCAGGGCAATTCGGCACGCGTCTTCAAGGTGGTAAGGATGCCGCCAGTCCGCGTTACATCTACACGAGGCTGGAGCGAGTCGCCCGCCTCATCTTCCACCCCGATGACGACAAGCTGCTCGAGGCCCAGGTCGACGAGGGCCAGCGAATCGAGCCCAAGTGGTACGTCCCTGTGATCCCTATGGTGCTCGTGAACGGGGCGGACGGCATCGGTACTGGATGGTCAACGTTCCTGCCGAACTACGACCCTCGGGAGATCATCGCGAATCTGAAGCGCTACATCCGTTGCGAGCCTATGGAGGTCATGTCGCCGCCCTATGAGTTCCAGATCCACCGACAAGTGCTCGATCAGATCGGAGATCCATCGATGGATTGTAGTCAAGTGCGCGCTTTCGACATTGGGCGGATGGAGGGGAGGGTCTGGCTCCGGACCTCTGCTTAGTGTGACTGTTTGCAACAGGGCGCCCATTATGGGCGAGACTCCACCTGCCTGAAACAGGTGCCAAAAATAGCCAAGATCTACTCCTTGGGGGGGAGGGAGGGGGGGTGCGAAGTCCCGCGCTGATCGGCAAAATAATAAATAAAAAAGCGATCGCCAAGACGCTGAAATTTTGACCACGTTGTGCCCAAGAGGGGCTCTGATTTTCGTGCCGGTCGGGGGAACTAGGTCTATGCGTGGCCGAGGCTAGCCTTGGCCAGAAAAGCCCTGGCAGCACGATGGCGATGACTGTAGCGTAGGGCCTTTGATGACGATGACGATGACGATGCAGCCTAGGGCCCTGTAGCACGATGACGATAACGATGACGATGATCGGGCTCTCGAGCAGAGTTTCTCACGCTTCGGGATGTATCGGGCAAGTGGGGCCTTGCACCAGGATCGGGATCAAGACGTAGAAACACCCAAACAGGAGAGCGGATGCCGCAGAGGTGCCCGTGGTACCGGGACTTTGTCGGCAGCATCCTGCCCTCCCCGGAGAAGGACGGGTACGAAGTCACGGGAGTAATCGAGAAGCAGGGCCCCACGACGCTGCAGATCACAGAGCTCCCCGTCCGGAGGTGGACGCAGGACTTTCCCCCGCTCACCTTGCAGAAGGAAGAGGAGCAAAGGGGGGAAGAAGGCGGACAGGGAGTGGAACCAGAGTGCCAGTCGACGTTTCCGAGTCGATCTGGGTCTTTGCAATTCTGCGCCCGACAGGGGGGAGGTAAGCCCGCCAGCGCTGAAGCCGTCTGTTCTTAGCCTTAGGTCGGGCATGTCTCTCTCTCTCTCTCTACAGGAGGAATATCCCAAAATAGTCAGAAAATCGTGTGGGGGCGATTTCTTGATCATTTCGACTATTTTGATGTATTTGTTTGACAATGTTTCATTTTTCGTGTAGAATCCGCCTGTGGGAGGACATACCCGACCTAATCTTAGCCACAGGGAAATGTCCGGACCTTCCCTTCCCCATGGGCCATTGGACCGCATTCGATCTGCAGATCCGAGAGTAAGATGCAGTCTGACTGTTGAGTTCAGTACCACCTATCTTAGTCTGCGTCCAGCATTGCGCAGAAAGCCGGTAGGAAGGCCTGGCACAATGTCCGAACTCTCATGTCGCCGTGTGAAGTATGAAGTGCAGCTTCGCCGTAGACGCGAAGGAAGCTGACCAGAAGTTTATGCGGGATCTGTCTTCTCAGCTCTTGACGCGTCGCGTATCCCCTTCAGCCCGTCCTGCAACGATGCCCAGGCAAGCTCCCTTGATCAGGGAAGCGAAGGCACAGGCGTCGGAACCCAGGGCTGGGGAAACCGTCAGACCGAACTTTGGGATCAGGCTGGGAAGGCCCAGGGGTGAAACCGATGTGCCTTCGCGGACATGTCGAACGAGGAAGGGCAGAGAAGGATGAGCAGGCGGGAGGAGGAGGAGGAGGAGGAGGAGTTTGAAGTACCATGGAAGAGTAGGAGGAGCAGGGCAAGGAGGAAGGCGACCGGAAGGAGGATGAAGCTGATCGCTCACGTTCTCACTCGATTTCTGGTTAACCTTGGTTTGGAACAATAGGAGAAGAAGGAGGAGGGAGAGGATGATGGTGAGGAGGAGGGAGAGGAAGAGGAGCAGGAGGACGATGAGTCAACCCTGCATTTGCCTACGTTTGCTACGGGAGCCTGTTTGAGCCCTTCTGGAAACATCTTGCGGCCCATGAGAGCACTTTGGGGAGCTTCCGGAGCCCTCTTGGGGGCGTCTTTGGGGCCATCTTGGAGGACAACGATGGAAGAAGGGAGGAGGAGGAGGAGCCCTGACAGCATCGCCCCTCCGAAGCCACGAACGTAGTCTCTTGGAGTCCTCTTTGGGGAGCTCCGTGGCCACTGGCAGCCGTTTGGGACCGGTCGCGTGGCCTTTTGGAGGCATGTTGTTGGCCACCTTGAGCCGTCTTGAGATATCTCGAGCAATCTTGGAGGCAATCCTGGGCTCCCTGCGGCCATCTTGGAGCCATGTTGGCCCAAAAACTTTGCAAGGATGCCGCCGAGATGACAACATCCTTGAATACAACAATGTGTTTGTCAATGATTCGGTTTTGAGCGAGGTTGGTACGTAAGCAGCGCCCCCGCGCAGGTGCCACCAAAGTCTCGTCTTGGGGCCCTCTTTGTGCGCTCTTCAGCGCTCTTGGGGCTGTCTTAGGACCATCTTGGGCCCCTGGGGTCCTCCTAGGCCATCCTGAACCCATCTTGAGGTTTCCAAAGCCCAGCGGAAGCAAAAAGTCGAGACGCAATACACATCGATGTCCCTTCGATGTTGGAAGGCGACCAGCTTCCCGCCGCAGAAGCAGAGCGCTGGAAACATGAGCGCCGTGCATCGGTTGACGACAAGTGTAAGCAGCGCGTGCTTCTTGAAGCTCCGCTCAACTTCCTCCTGCTGCTACTCCTCCGCAGCCGTATCCTTCTGCGTCCTCTGCTCTCGCGTTCTCTTCGCGCGTCCCGGTCGGTGCTTTCCTGCCTTCGCGCAGGACTACAAGGAGACGCTCCAGGGCATGCTGTCCACGGAGGGCCCTGGCTCGGGGCAGATCGAGGATCCGAGACGCAAGCCTTGTGTGCGATGCTGGGTGTGTGCGGGCCTCTACGAAGAAGCCCCAAACAATGTTTTGCCAGCGTGGACCTCACACGGTGTGTTTCCGGCAACCTATGTGGTGCAAGCCATGCGGAGCCCCATTTGTAATGCAATATCGAGGACGCCTACGGCGAATCACCGCCGCCCCCTGCCTTTTGGAATCGCCCCTGTGGCCGAGCGTTGTGGCAAGAGCTCTGCCAAGCTATCGGGCCATGTGTTCCCCCAGCCGTTGTAGAAACCCTTCGGGGAACACTTGGGGGAGGATGGCGGGGAAGATCAGGAGGAGGAGGAGGAGGGGGTATCGTGGGAACCTTTGAGGGCACTCTTGGAGCCTCCTGGGAGCTTCCTGGGAGCCTCTTGGAGGCAGCTTGGGGGCCTCCTTGGGCATCTTGAGGGCCTTTGGGGGCTTCTCGGGGGCTTCTTTGGCAGTCTTAGGGCATTCCCTGCCCGTCTGATACCGTCGGGTGCCGTCTTGGGGGCCTCGTTGGGCCGACTTGGGGCCCTCTTGGGGTGCTCCAGGGCCGTCTTGGAGGCCATCTAGGGCGTCTTCGAGGCCTCTTGGGCCATCTTGGAGCCCTCTTGGGGCCGTCTTGGGGGCCTCTGAGGCCGTTCTGGGGCCATCTTGGAGGCCTCTTGGGCGATCTTGGCGCGATCTTTGGAAGCTCCTGGGCCGTCTCGGGCCGTCGGAAGACCGAGCAAAAGCAAATGCCCAAATCCTTCAAACACCTAAAGGAAATCAATGATATTGGCCTCTTCGGGCCTTCATGGAGCCCCGCTTGGGGGCCTCTTGGGCCGTCTTGGAGACCCCCGTTGGCCTCTTGGGCCGTCTTGGGCCATCTTCGAGCCACCTTGGGCCGTCTTGATGGCCTCCTTGCCCGTCTGACGACGTCGGAAGCCGTCCTGAGGGCCTCTCTGGACCGACTTGGGGCCCTCTTGGGGTGCTCCAGGGCCGTCTTGGAGGCCATCTTGGGCGTTTTGGAGGCATCTTGGGCCGTCTTGGGGCCCTCTCGGAGCCGTCTTGGGGGCCTCTGGGGCCGTTCTGGGGCCATCTTGGAGGCCTCTTGGGCGATCTTGGGTCGATCTTGGGGGGCTCCTGGGCCGTCCCGAGCCGTCGGAAGACCGAAAACTAGCACATGCAAGAATAACTGTTCCAAACAAAGAATCTACAGAAATCAAAGATGTTGCTCTCTTCGGGGCCTCCTGGAGGCCTTCTTGGATGCCTCTTGGGCGAACTTGGAGACCTCTTGGGCCCTCTTTGACCGTTTTGGAGGCTTCTTGGGCGGCTTTGGAGGCATCCTCGACCCTCTTGGGCCGTCCTGGAGGCCATCCTGGGCGAACTTGGAGGCCATCTCGGGCCATCTGGGCCGTCTTGGTGGCCCAAGAGGGCCCCCCAGGCGGCCGCAAGAGAGCCTCAAGAGGGCCCCAAGAGGCTCCCGAGCAGGCCCCAGGAGGAGGGGGAGGAGGAGGAGGAGGAGGAGGAGGAGGAGGAGGAGAAGCAGGAGGAGGAGGAGGAGGAGGACGACGAAGAGGAGGAGGAGGAGAGGAGGAGGAGAGGAGGAGGAGAGGAGGAAGAGGAGGAGCAGGAGGAGGGGAGGAGGGAGGAGGGAGGGGGGGAGGGAGGAGGGAGGAGGAGGAGGAGAATTATGAGAGGGAGGAGAGGAGGAGGCGGAGGAGAAACGAGGACGAGGCCAAGAGGAGAAGGAGGAGGAGGAAGAGGAGGAGAACAAAGATCAGGAGGAGGGAGGAGGAGGAGAAGGAGGCATGGAGGAGGAGGAGGAGGAGGAGGAGGAGGAGAGGAGGAGGAGGAGAGAGGAGGGGAGGAGGAAGGAGGAGAGGACGAGGAGGAGGAGGAACAGGATGAGGAGGAGGAGAAGAGGAGAGGAGGAGGAGGAGGAATCAGGGAGAGGGAGGATGAGGATGAGGATGAGGATGATGATGATGATGATGAGGAGGGAGGAGGAGGAGGAGGGGGGAGGAGGAGAAGGAGATGAGAGTAGGAGGAGGAGAGGAGGAGGAGGAGGGAAGGAGGAGTGAGGAGGTGAGGAGAAGAGGAGGAGGAGGAGGAGGAGGAGGAGGAGGAGGAGCAGGAGCAGGAGCAGGAGAAGGAAGAGGAGCAAGATGGAGGAGGAGGAGGAGGAGGAGGAGGAGGGGAGGCAGAGGAGGAGAAGGAGGAGGAAAGAAGAGGATGATGATGAGGAGGAGGAAGAGCAAGGCTACCAACTGAGAGCGTTGACGTAGCACGCGCTTTCCTGCAAGGCTCCCAAGAGCGAGCTGTGACGAAACAAGCTCTTACCACCAAAGCTCCCAAGAGCGAGCGGCAACGTAAGCATCTGTGGGCACGAGGACTCTGAACAAAGAGCGGTGACGCAACAAGCTCTTCCCATCAAGGCTCCCAACAGAGAAAGGTGACGTAACACGCGCTTACCAGCAAGGCTCCCAAGAACGAGCGGTGACGCAACAAGCTCTTACCACCAAGGCTTCCAAGAGCGAAGGGTGCCATGAACCATCTCGGGCAGGTTGCTGAAGCGCTCTTTCCGTTTCCGTGCCGGCCCACGTCTAGTGGCTTTCGGCCCATCCCACCAGCGTACTTGGGTTGTGGCCTTGAGGCCTCTCGGTTGTTCGTTTGGATATCTTGGGAGGCCTCTCGGGGGCCTCTCGGAGGCAGTTTTCATGCCTTTCGCGAACCGTTTGGGAGTCTCTTAGGGCCTCTTTTTGGACCTGTTGGGGGCCTCGTGGGGCCTCCAGGGGGCTTCTTGGGCTCTCTTGAGAGCCTCTTGGGGCCTCCTGGAGGCCTCCTGGGGCGGAGGGCTCGAATTGTCGGTTCGTGTTCCCCCTCTTGGGCCCCTCTTGGGGCCGTCTTGGGATCCTTCTTGGGCGATCTTGGGCGCCTCTTGGGTCGTTTTGGGGCCCTCTTGGACCGTTTTGGGTCCCTCTTGGGTGCCTCTTTGGTCGTCTTGGGGCGGTCTGGGGGGCTTCTGAGAACATCTTGGAGCGACGCGACAAAACATTGAAACACACGAGGAACATCAATGATGCGTGCCTCGTTGGTGCCTCTAGGGGGTTCTGTTGGAGCGCTCTTGCGGGTTCTGTGGGGCCTCTTGGGGCCATCTTGGGCGTCTTGGAGCGCTCTTGGGCTGTCTTGGAGACCTTTCGTACCCTCTTGGGCGCTTTCTGGAGCCCTCTTGGCCCAGCTTGGTGCCCTCTGGCCTCTGGGAACGTCACGCGAGCCAGCACAGATGCGCGCGGGAGCGCCTAGGAAACTTGAGAATCTGGGGCCCCAGCCCTTAAAATTTTCAATACTAGGATCCCCCAGTCCTGAGTACAGAAAAGAAACACACGAGAGCATGCGATATATCCACTTCCTGCCTCGAGGCACGGTGGCGGATAGGTGGTGCAATACATGTTGCGTAAGCTATATGGTGCCATCTATGTTGTGCAATCTCGGTGGAGCAATATATAGAGATATAGCTATACTGATAATACATATACACACACTAGAACCACGCGCGTTTCGCGCGCCATTGGGTCCTAGCGCAAGCCCAACTGGGCTGCGCAAGTAGGAATGGAAAAGAGAACCATCCCGCACTGGTCATCATATGGGAGTGGACATCCTGATGGACGCAGCATGAAGCTGTGAATGCGCCAAAGCCGCCAGTATTGCGAGGGGCACCAGTATCTCACACAGGCCCGCCAGCCATGCCTCACTCGGCTGCCATTCCTTCGGCATGCCTGCTGTTCCTCCTTCTCCTCCTCCTTCTCCTCCTCCTCCTCCTCCTCCTTGCGCTCCTCCTTCTACTCCATCTCATCCCTCCTCCCTCCTCCTCCTGCTGCTCCCCCTCCTCCTCCACGTGCTCCCTCTCCTACCGGTCCTCCTCCTCGTCCTCCTCCGTCCCCTCCTCCTCCCTTTGTCTCCTGGGCCTGGCGCCGAGTCTGCGGACTCCTCGAGCCACGCCGTGTCGACCGCTCGCCCCGTTCGTTGTGAAGCGACCCTGCCCTGGAAAAGAATGCAACATCTGCAGGTCGGAGGTCGCGCGACGCAGGTTTGCAGGCCCAGAAGGTTCCCGAGGACTCCGGGAAACGAAAGCGACCCGGGGCCGAACACAACAAAACGCAGGCGGCGATCACAGAAGCATTACAATGAGTGCCTTATTTCCGAATGCGCTCGGCTGCTCGCCGAGTGCTGAGGGGGGAGAGGGAGTGGCTCCTCCTCCTCCTTCCCCTCCTCATCCTCCTCCTCCTCTTCCTCCTCCCGAGTCTATTCTGAAACTCCTCCTGCTCCGCCCCCTCCTCTCCTCCCTCTCCTCTTCCTCCTCTTCCTCCTCCTCCTCCTCCTCCTCCTCCTCCTCCTCCCTCCTTTTCATCCTTTTTCCTCTCCTCCTCCTCTTTCCTCCTCGTTCTCCCCCTTCTCTCCTCCTCCCTCCTCCTCGTCCTCCTCCTCCTCCTCCTCCGCCTCCTCCTCCTCATCCTCCTGTGGCCTCTTGAGGGCGTCTTGAGGGCCTCTTGGGGCTGTCATGGAACCGTCTTCACAGGCTGTCTCGAGGCTTCTCCCGAAAACCACCAGGCGGTATCATGAAAACGCTTGTTTTGATGATGCATCACGGGTCCCTCGTGGGAGCCTCTGGAGACTCTTTTGGCAGCCTCGTGGGGCGCTCTGGCACCCCTCGACGCTCATTGAGGGCCTCTCGGGCGCCTCCTGGGGAGTCTTCGGGGTGTCGTAGGTGCCTGCTTGGGCCCTCGAGGGTGCTTCTGTGAGCCCTTCGGGTCGGTCGGGGCCTATCAGGGAGCCGCTATTGGCCCGATGAGCCCTATGAGTTTTGTAAGCTCTATGACCTCAACGAGCCCAATGAGCCCGATAAGACCGATGAGCCGAATGAGCCCCGGTGAGATTTAGGAGCCCTAGAAGCCTCATGAGCCGCATTAAACCTATGGCCCTATGAGCTCTAGAACGGAGGGCTTCTCAGG